GTAGTGGGCTTGGAATTAAGAGGAGTCATCTTCATCATTTCAAATAGAGCCTCAGTCACTTACTAGCTGTGTGACCCTGGGAAAGTGTCTTACCCCTTTTTGCCTCAGTTTCTTATCTGTGAAATGAGTTGGAGAATGAAATGGGAAACCACTCCAGTGTCTTTGCCAAGAAAACCCCAAAATGAGGTCACAAAGAGTCAGACACAAATGAATGACAACAAGAAGACAGTACACACCTATTATTCATTCCACCTAATATTCTTCTAAGATAGGAAATACTCTTGAGGCTCTTTAAACATGAGGAAACTGAGATTGGGGCTTGCATCAGACTATAAACATGAAAGAATCTGAGAGAATACAAATTTAGTTCTCTCCTAAATCCAAATCTATGACAGGTTCTAATAAAAATTTTGCCTTTGAAAAACGTTTAGATTCCACTTCTCTGTGCATAAGAAAAGTAGCCTGACTTGGGGCATGGATCCCAGAATGGGGAAGGTACAGATTGGATTTCCTCTCTAAGAAAAAAGCTGCTCCAACTGAAGTCATTGTCCTCTCACAGCTTTCCTAAAAGCATTCTTGACATTTTTGTTCCTAAGACTATAGACCAGAGCGTTCAACAGGGGGATGACCATAGTGTAGAACGCTGACACTATTTTGTCTGTGTCCATGGAATGGCTTGAGTTGGGTTGGAAGTACATGAATGTGATTGTCCCATAAAATATGGACACTACTGTGAGATGGGAAGCACAGGTGTAGAAGGCTTTCTGGCGGCCTTTAGCAGAATGGATCCTCAGGATGGTGATGAAGATTAATAAGTAAGAGGCAAAGATGACAAGAAATGGGAAAAAGACAGTGAATGAACCTAAGATAAAGAATAAAAACTCAATGATGTGAGTATCAGAGCAAGAAAGAACTAAGAGAGGGGGAACATCACAGAAGAAGTGATGGACCACTTTGGATCTACAAAATGAAAGGCTAAACGTGTTTCCTGTGGCTATGGAGGAGGCCAGAAAGCCACAGATGTGAGCACCACTGGCCAGAAATGCACATACTGTTGAAGTCATGGTAGTGGTATAATGTAGGGGCTTACACACAGCTGCATGGCGATCATAGGACATGGAAGCCAAAAGGAAACTTTCAACTGTTGCAAAGGCCATAAAGAAAAACAACTGTGCTGCACATGCATTATAGTAGATGACCTTGTTACCCGTGAGGATCCCAGCCATCACCTTGGGTGTAACAGCTGAGGAGTAGCCAAAATCCACCAGGGAGAGGTTACTAAGGAAAAAGTACATGGGAGTGTGGAGGTGAGAATCCCAGGAGATCAGAGCTACTATCCCCAGGTTCCCTACCAGGGTGATGAGGTAGATGAAGGAGAACATTATGAAGAGAGGAACCTGAAGCTCTGGGGCATCTGTTAATCCTACAAGGATGAACTCATTCACTTCAGATCTGTTCTCCATA